TCAATGATGGTTGATGATAACTGGCTATGGCACATGCGATATGGACATTTAAATTTTAACAGTTTAAATCTCCTTGCTCAGAAAAATTTGGTATTTGGCTTGCCTCATATTTCTGTGCCTACTGATTTATGTGAGACCCGTGTTCTTGGTAAAAAGCATAGAGACAGTTTTCCTAAAGGACAAGCCTTTAGAGCTCAAAGGCCTCTTGAAGTGATACACTCTGATCTCTGTAGTGTTGAGACAACCTCACACGGTGGTGGAAAATATTTCATTACATTTATTGATGATTTCAGCAGGAAGACTTGGGTGTATATCTTAAAGAACAAATCTGATGCTTGTGACACTTTCAAGAAGTTCAAGGCCTATGTTGAGAAACAAAGTGGTGAAATGATAAAAGTACTGAGAACTGACAGAGGCCAAGAATACATAGTCTGTGATGAGTTTTTAGAGAAGAATGGGATAAAACATCAATTGACAGCCAGGTATACACCTCAGCAAAATGGTGTGGCTGAGAGAAAAAACAGAACAATTATGGATATGGTGAGATGTATGCTGAAATTGAAGAATCTGCCTAAGTATTTTTGGGCAGAAGCTGTTGCTTGTGCTGTGTATATTTTGAATAGGGCTCCTAGCAGAAGTGTGAATGGAAGAACTCCTTATGAAGTTTGGAGTGGCAGGAAGCCAAATATTCAGCATCTTCGTGTGTTTGGATGTATTGCTTATTCTCATGTCCCAGATCATATTAGAAAGAAACTTGATGAGAAGGCAGAAAAATGCATTTTTATTGGCTACAGCACAGTCACAAAAGGCTACAAGCTTTATAATCCAAAGACAGAGAAGGTTATAATCAGCAGGGATGTCACTTTTGATGAGCAAGGAACTTGGGATTGGTCCTTGAATGAAAGCAGACCTGCAACATATTTTCCAGCAGCTGATAATTATCATTTTGGAGATGATCAACAAGTAAATGAACCAGAAATTCAACAGGAAGTTGAGCCAAGAAGGTCAACACGTGAGCATCGATTGCCATCTCGTTTCCAAGATTATCAAATGACAGGAAATGTTGCCTCAGATGAAGAAATTGTGAATTTTGCCTTGTATGCAGATTGTGATCCTCTATCATTTGAGGAGGCATGTGAACATGAGCACTGGATTAAAGCAATGGGTGAAGAGATTCATGCAATTGAAAAGAATGACACTTGGGAGCTTACTTCTCTTCCTGAAGGAAAGACACCTATTGGAGTTAAATGGGTATACAAGACAAAGTACAAGCAGAATGGAGATGTGGATCGTTTCAAGGCAAGGTTAGTAGCTAAAGGCTACAAGCAAAAACCAGGAATTGATTATTTTGAGGTTTTTGCTCCTGTTGCTAGGCTTGATACTGTTAGAATTGTTATTTCTCTTGCTGCCCATAATGCTTGGATGATATTCCAAATGGATGTAAAATCTGCATTTTTGAATGGAACCTTGGAAGAAGAGGTTTATCTTGAGCAACCAGCAGGTTATGTAAAACAAGGGCAAGCTGACATGGTGTGTAAGCTGAAAAAGGCTTTGTATGGCCTTAAACAAGCTCCAAGAGCATGGTACACCAGAATTGATTCTTACTTCATGGAGCATAAGTTTCAAAGGTGTCCATATGAACATACTTTGTATGTAAAAAATAATCAGCAAGGGGATGTTGTTATTGTCTGTCTGTATGTGGATGATTTGATAATTACAGGAAATAATATGAGATTGATTGCAGAATTCAGGGAGGCTTTAGCATCTCAATTTGAGATGACTGATATGGGATTGATGTGTTATTTTCTTGGTATTGAGGTGAAACAAACTGAGCAAGGGACTTTTATTTCTCAAAAGAAATATGCTGGTGACATCCTCAAACGTTTTAGAATGGAGTCATGCAAGCCAATTTCAACTCCAGTTCAAGAAAGATTGAAGCTACAGAGAGATGGAGCTGGAAATTTGGTTAATCCAACATTTTTCAAAGAGTTGGTTGGTAGCTTGCGTTATTTGACTGCTACTAGGCTACATTTGGTGTTGGGTTAATTAGTAGATTTATGGAAACTCCAAGACAGTTACATATGCAGGCAGCAAAAAGAATTCTGAGATATGTCAAAGGAACTCAAAGTGATGGTATTTTCTATTCAGCTAATTGTCCTGTGAAGCTTGAAGGATACACGGACAATGATTGGGCTGGTGATGTTGAAACAACAAAAAGTACTTCAGGCTATGCATTTCATATTGGTTCTGGAATGATTTCTTGGTCATCAAAGAAGCAGCAAGTTGTGGCCCTTTCATCTACTGAAGCAGAGTATATTGCAGCCACAAATTCTGCTACACAAGCAGTATGGTTGCGCCAATTACTTGGTGATCTTCATCATGAACAGAAGAGCCCCACAACAATTTATTGTGACAATAATTCAGCGATTGCATTGGCAAGGAATCCTGTTTTTCATGGGAGGACTAAACATATACCTGTGAAGTTCCACTACATTCGGGATTTGGTAAATGACAAGGTGGTTGAAGTCCAATATTGTCCAACTGGAGAACAGATTGCAGATATATTTACTAAGGGTCTCAGGATGGATGCGTTCATGAAGCTGAAGAAGATGATGGGAATGCAGAGTTATGATGAGCTTGGTTTAAGGGAGGCTGTTGAAAGTTAAACCAAGCCAAAGGAATCCAACTTTATCCATATTTTGTAAAAGCATGTAAGCATGCTGTCGGCTAGACTTGGCTTTGTTTATTAACTCAATAGGGTATTTTGTTTTACCCTATAGGCATGATGTCGGTTGATGTCCTCTAGGCAACTTTTTCTCTTTTGACTAAAAGTTTGTCTCTCAAAGAGACGTTGGTCTCTTGTTTTGTAATGAGAGTGTTGTTGTAAAAAACTATTATTATTGAATGTGAACTTATCAGACGGGTCAAGCCTTTCTTCCATATTCTCTCTGAGTTTTCCAGCAAGAGTCTTCTTCCTTCTATTCTCTTCCGTGTCTGTGAGTTTTTACTTGCTTGCTGTGTTATTTGGTTTGCTTGTCTTGAGTTAGCTGCCGTGAGTTTTTAGTTTCTTCTACAGGGAACCACCTGTTTGGGGTTCGAAACTCATTGAGGTACCTATCTAGCAATTATTGCTACAGTTTCCTTGCCCGCCAAATATTGTAGGGTTCGGCGGGTGAGCCTCAGTTTGGGAGCTGAATTAGCAAAGCTGAAAGTGGAGTTCTGGGTTGTCATTAAAAATAAGACCAAGGAAATTCTCAAACGAAAAATGCAAGCGGTTCAACACCTACAATTTTAATTATGAAAAAATCAAAGGTAAACCAATCAAAAACCCAACCAAACAAATCACATAGCAATTGTAACTCATAATCTATGAACACTCTTCCTCCTCCCCCACCAAAAAACTTCTCAAGACACCCAACCATCATAACCACAGTCACCGCCGGTATATCTCTCTCTTATTTCTGTTTCTCAATTCCTACTATGACAAACACGTTTGCCAAACACCCACCTCCCACTCCTTGATTTGCTAAAGGTCATGGGGTTCTTAGATCTCTCAATTGTCCCATCATCAATGGATTCACACATGATATGATATGATATGCAACCGATGAGATGCTCTGTTTCAATTTAATTTGAAATCCTCCCATCTAATTCCAGGTTGTTTCATGGATGGTGATTTGGTTTCATTAGAATTGAAACGAAGCGTTTCTAGATATGCAACTAAACTTTAGTTTTTATGTCAATCATAGCAGGTTTGAAACGATGATTATGAGCGACGAGGGTGGGGTGGTTTTCTGGGCTTAGGTTCTTGGGGTGTTCTAGGATTTATTTATTTATTTATTTTATTTTGTTTAATTTTTAGTCTTTATTTTGACCTTTGAATTATAGTTAACATTAGGCCTGGGCACGGTTTGGGTCGGGTCAAATTTTGGCCGACCCGTGGGCCAAACCGATGAAAAACTCAGTTTTCGGATCGGGTCGGGTCTAGGGTGAAACCCGAAATTGGGCTAAATTAGAAATGGACCTCGGTTTTCAGGTCGATTCTGTGTTCTGATCAGTTTGGGCTTGAGCCCAATTTTAACATTTTCAAAAGCCCAAATCTTATTTACTTTCAGCCAAAAAAAGCCCAAATCATATTTTTTTAGCAAAACAAAACTCAAATCAGATTTAGTTTCATTCAGCCAAAACACTTTTTTTGTTGTCAAATTGCCAAAACCTATTAAATTCTTATGAACAAGCCCAAAACACTTTTTACGTATCTTTCAAAACCTGAAATTATGTAAATTCAACCTATAAAAATCCATCATTCCAATCTAAGTTTCTAAACTAAATGAATCTCACATTCACACATTTAACCAACCAACCAAGGAAAGGAAATATAATCTCTTACAAACCATTACAAAAAATAATACACAAACCAAATTAAACTTATGAAATTAAAGATTACAACTCATCACAAAAATACACATAAAGATAATATCCTTACAAAAAATCTGCTGCATCCATTCTTCCAAAAGCCTTAAAGATAATTTCCTATTCAAAGATGCAAGAAACAGAGTCAAAACAGATTTAAACAAATTTAAATCACATACAGATTACAAATTACAGATTTAAATAGATTAGCAGCAGCAAATATTTAACTAGGGAACTTCCAAAAAGGGAAAAATTAAGGGTCTCTTAAACAAAAGTAAATTCATGAAGGATAGCTTAAAGTGCAGCACAAATAATATCACCCAAAAAAAATTCTGTTGTAGTATTTCAGTGCTAATTTATAACCCTTACCTTCTTCTATCCTAATATTGGTCTAGACAAAAATGAAATTCCTCCATTAACGTATCATCTAATTAGCTAATTAGATGGTGAGTTTAGCAATGGGACATATAAATAATTTCCAGAACGTCCACTTTTAATTGAGAGAGAAATTGGATTTTCTTTGTTTGGGCCCAAATATCTAGTTGGACATGATTATTAAGATGCAATTGCATCGGGTTCCATATTCTTTTTGCTGTGAAAAGGTTTTGTTGGGATACTTTCACTTTCTACCTCCAATCAATAGAATATACTAGGGGTGAGCACGGGTCGGGTTGGGTCGGGTATGAGCCCAAACCGTATGCCGACCGGAGGTCATCGGCATGCCCATTTTGGAGACCGCCGCCGCGCCGAGGAGATGCAAGACCGACTACAATCGGCACGCCGAGGAGTCGGTGCGGTTTGGTTTGGTTCGGCGAACATCGATGGAAGAGGATTGAACTGGGATTGAGGGCTTGAGGACCACTTCGTGGTTGGGGGGTATGGGGAAGAAGAAGAAGCCGAGGAAGAAGACGGAGAGAAGAACAAAAGAAGAAGAAAATGCAGCCAGCGGGATGAAGAAGAACAAAGAGAAAGATGGAGAGAGAAGAGAAGAAATAAGAAATGATGGCTGGGAGAAAAGAAGAAAAAGCATATGAAGAAGATGGGAGAGATGGATAGAAGAGAAGAAAGAAGGAAAGGAATGATGACGGTTGGGAGAAAAGAAAAAGAAATGAAGAAGAAAAGAAGAAAAAGCAAAGGAAGAAGATGGAGAGAATAACGAAAGAAGAAAAAGATGGAGAGAGAAGAGAAGAAAGAATGAAAGAAATGATGACGGTTGGGAGAAAAGAAAAAGAAATGAAGAAGAAAAGAAGAAAAAGCAAAGGAAGAAGATGGAGAGAATAACGAAAGAAGAAAAAGATGGAGAGAGAAGAGAAGAAAGAATGAAAGGAATGATGACGGTTGGGAGAAAAGAAAAAGAAATGAAGAAGAAAAGAAGAAAAAGCAAAGGAAGAAGATGGAGAGAGAGAATAACGAAAGAAGAAAAAGATGGAGAGAACAGAAGAAAGAATGAAAGAAATGATGACAGTTGGGAGAAAAGAAAAAGAAAAGGAGCGTTTGTGGGACGGTTAGATTGTAATAAATATTACAATTGTATGATTATTACAATCTAACCGTCCCACAAACTCTCCTTTTCTTTTTCTTTTCTCCCAACCGTCATCATTTCTTTCATTCTTTCTTCTCTTCTCTCTCCATCTTTTTCTTCTTTCGTTATTCTCTCCATCTTCTTCCTTTGCTTTTTCTTCTTTTCTTCTTCATTTCTTTTTCTTTTCTCCCAACCGTCATCATTCCTTTCCTTCTTTCTTCTCTTCTATCCATCTCTCCCATCTTCTTCATCTGCTTTTTCTTCTTTTCTCCCAGCCATCATTTCTTATTTCTTCTCTTCTCTCTCCATCTTTCTCTTTGTTCTTCTTCATCCCGCTGGCTGCATTTTCTTCTTCTTTTGTTCTTCTCTCCGTCTTCTTCCTCGGCTTCTTCTTCTTCCCCATACCCCCCAACCACGAAGTGGTCCTCAAGCCCTCAATCCCAGTTCAATCCTCTTCCATCGATGTTCGCCAAACCAAACCAAACTGCACCGACTCCTCGGCGTGTCGATTGTAGTCGGTCTTGCATCTCCTCGGCGCGGCGGCGGTCTCCAAAATGGGCATGACGATGACCTCCGGTCGGCGTACGGTTTGGGCTCATACCCGACCCAACCCGACCCGTGCTCACCCCTAGAGAGAAGAGAAGAGAAGACTGAGTCTAAGTGAAAGTGAGTGAGAGTCGCGTAGGAAGAAAAAAATTAATGAGGGATCCGCTGTAAGCAACCCCAGGCAGTGACATACGGAAAATCTTCTTTAAGCCAATTAGACAATGACACATGGAAAATGCATATATAATTAAATATTATGCGGTTCGGTTCAGGTCCATTGGTTCAAAATTTTTTAGACCCGAAGCTTGAACCGAAGCCAACAGTTCGGGTCACGTCCAATGTTGACTTTTTCGGGTTGGTAAAAAAAAATCTCATTTTTCAGTTCGGTTTAATTCGGTTTATCGGTTTTTTTGCCCACCCCTAGTTAACACCGGTAGATTTGTAGAGATAGAGAAACTAACAAAAGGGGTGTGGTTGTAAATGAAACATGTGGGATCTGACTCTAATTATACCAAACTTCAGGGAGTCTAAGTGAAATTCTCCCCTTGTTAAAATGACCCCAGCTTGAGCTTCGGTGTGCCCAGCTGACAAATCTCGTTAGCAGCTCACATCTTTTTATGAAATAGCTTGCGTTTGCTTCATTCAAGTTTGGTCATTGATTTTTTTTTTCCTCACAGGGACGATCAATCTTTATATAAAATTACACATACGGTTACGATTTGAGACATGCAATTATAAAACTTTGACAACTCAATTATAAAACTTTGACACATGCAATGCATTATTTGATGTATCTTATGTCGTCGCCACTTAATCCCCCTTTACACAAACGAGTAAAAGAAATCTCAAATCATAACTATGAGTTTTGGGTGAGTTTAAAAATGACAATGGGATGGGATGGCATAACATTGGGTTTACCATTAATTCCATCCATTTCTCTCCTCACTCCTCCAAATCCAATGATGTGGATCAAAATATAAGAGATTTTCTATTTAAACCTCACACTTCTCTTAGTTCACCCCAATGCTTAAATCATTAAGTTGTAAGTTTTATTATTGTGTAAAAAGACAAAAGAGGTCATCCAACTTAATAATTAACCCTAGTATATCTATACGCACACCCCACCACTCTTCATATTAAGTTTTAGAAAAATACAAATTAAATTTCAGGTTTGGAGTTCCATTTGTTTGTGTTTTTTTTCCGCTAGGAACAAAGAAAATTATGGGGTTTAAATAGAAAATCTCTTTTATTTTTATTTTTTCAGTTTGGGGTGTATTTAAGGGTAGTTTGGGAAGATAGTGGGGTTTTCTTAGAAATTGTGAAAATTTTAATTAAAAGATGGGGTGAACTAAGAGAAGTGTGGGGTTTAAATAGAAAATCTCAAATATAATTAAGCCTCAATCAATCAGTGAGAATGATGTAATTAGGGTAGCTAGCAGTTCATTTGAAAACTCTAATTGCTCTAATAAAAAAACAAAACAAAAACAAGAAAAGATTAAAACGTTTGGCACAAACAAATCAGTGGGCCTCTCTCTTCTCGATTGTCTTATCTTTTATGCGTCTGAAAAAGAAGAAAAGTCATTTTGTCTATTTACTTTAGGATTCGTTCATGTTGTCTTGCTTTTGAGTTCAAACCCATCTTTTACAACAAAAATTTTCTCCCTCAAAGTGCAAACCAATGGACTACAAGGACCTACACAAGTGTCACTTTACAGGCAAAGAAGTCTCGAGAAAGCATACACAATCACTTTTGTGTTAGTGTATAATATACAGAGCCGGTCCTCAGCTCTCAAGCGCCTAGGGCGAAAATCTAAAGTGTGCCCATGTACAAACATTAATAACTGAAACTGTAGTTTTTTTAAAAAATAAACTAAGCATTGATTTTTTTTAAGAAAATATTTTTCTAAAGATCTTTTTTAGACTTTGACGTATGTCTTATTTTTCTTTTTTGTCTTTTTAAGATTTCCAGAGTTTTATATTTTATATTAAATAGAACTAATGACAATAAAAATCTAAACAATCACCACAACAAGTTAGAGGCAATAGCAATAAAGAAACTAAAAATATGATCAATCACACTCAAGCATGAAATGTTCAACTCAATATTGACTAAGTATGAAAAATAGTTTTTCGGACTAATCATTTTCTCAAGATAATTTTTGGCGGCTTTTGTTCCTTACACATCAAATAAGAAAACTTGATTTTATGGGATTTTAGTATGAAGTAGGCCTGGGCGCGGATCGGTTTGGAACGGTAGAGGGCTCTTCCGTTAACCAAACCACAGACTTCGGTAGACCATTTTCTCTTCCGTTAACCAAACCAAAGACTTCGGTAGACTTCGGATCAGTTAACTAGAATATACCTCTACATCATTAAACAAATTATGAAAGTGAGAAAATAAACATATGTCATAGACTGAGCTGCAGCTTTTCTTTTTAAGTTATTCAGTGGTGGAAGTGAGGAAATAGCATTTGATGAAATATCCACAGTTTGTGCAGAGGTTGGTGTAGGAGTTGAACTTACGTTTGACATAGGACTAGTAGATGAACTGAAGGTTTTTGCAATTGAAACACAAATTAATTAAATTAAACAAAAAGACATGAGTGATATTACATATAGCTTTCTGCAATTGAAACTAAAGCTTAAAGCTAAATGATTCATTCCTTGCAATATTTAAATACTAAGACATTTGAATAGTCAACATTTGTTCCAATTCATATAGCTTTTAATCAATATATTTGCCACGTTTTGCACCAAAAAAGAAAGAAGAAAAGTTGCAGGTCCCTCTGCAACTTCTCATCTCCTTTTCGTTTTTCTTATTTTTTGTTATGCTGGGCTAAGAGAAAAGTAATAAATTCTTTTGAAAAGCAAAGTACCTTTTAGATCGATTGTAGAAGATAAGAGAGCGATGGTTGCTGTATAAATCAGTGTGAAATGATAAGAGTTCTTCTTATGCAAAATACCCTGCTTGAAGAGATGAGAGCGATGGTTGTGCGGCCAAGCTAACAGAGAGAAGGGAAAGTTAAGATATTTGGGGGTTAGAGGGCGGCTG